AGTTAAATAGTCGGTGTAAGGAACTCGTGGCCTCGTTAATGCACTACTTTGAGCAAGAAAGGGACAACAACGGGCCTTTGTTGCCTTTAAATGCTGTTCAAGAGGTAGGTTACTAATAATTATATGTAATGTATATTAATAATAGTGAAATTTTATTTCATTTTTTGTAGCGTGTTGCTGCTGCTTTAAAAATTAGTTTAAGGACAGTTAGTCGTATTTCCGAGGGTGTGAAAAGTGATGCAAATATAGAATCGCCCAAAAAAAAGCGGAGTTATATTAAACGTGTAACCAACACAGCGACATTGGATAAAAGTGCCATTCGAGAAGTGATCTATAATATGTATCACAAAAGTAAGATCTTATTATAATAACTTATCAGAAATTTGCATTAATTTGTTAACTAAATTATAATGTCATATTACACATGGTTTCAGAAGAACCAGTTACGATACAAACTTTATGGTCTCGATTAAGAGATAGGGTATTATTTGATGGTAGTGCCACGTCTTTAAGGCGGTTGCTTAGAGATCTTGGATTTAAGTGGCTTAAGGACAATCCGCGACGAGGGCTCATGGAACTACCAAGTATAGCTTTGAAAAGGGTGGAATTTCTAAGGCAATACAATCAAGCCAAGGTTGAGGCCTTATACCAGTTTGTCTTCCTCGATGAAACTTGGATATTTCAAAATGGGACCATAGGTCGCTCTTGGCAAAATGGAAACCAAAAAAGCATGAAAGCTATTAAAACAGATGGTAAAAGGTATGTACTTTTACACAATTTGCACTATAAAATTTAAAACTAATATATTTTAGATACATTAACGTATATTACATGCTGGAAATGAAAATGGGTTTATTGAGGGTAGTGAAGCGATATTTTCTTCGAAAACAAAATTGAGCGATTACCATGGAGAGATGAACCAGGACAATTTTTTGAAATGGTTTCAACATCAGTTATTAGAAAAATTGGAGAGTCCATCTATGATTATACTGGATAACGCCCCTTATCACAGCTTGATATTGAACAAAGTGCCCAACAATGCATGGACAAAAAAAAATATCCAAGACTGGTTGACAAATCAAAACATACCATTTTTAAACACAATGTTTAAAACAGAGCTATTGAGTATTGTTGCTCGGTACATAATGCTTCTTAATTATATATATTTTGGTCGACAGTTTATATTTCTTTTGTTTATTCCTATTCTTAAAATAACTGCTTTTTTAGAAACAAACCACCTAAAATATACGTGATTGATGAATTGGCGGAACAACATGGGCACAAAGTTCTTCGTCTGCCTCCTTACCATTGTATATTTAACCCTATTGAGTTAATTTGGGGCATAGCAAAAGGTTACTATAACAGACATATTGGTATAGATGGTAACAGTGAAAAAGACTGTTTGGATATGTGGAACGAGGCTCTACAAACGGTTGTCCAGACATGTGGAAAAATAGTGTTCGACATACTGAGCAAGAAATTTTTAAATGGTATGAAAGAGAACGAATTTTTGATCGACCAGACATCGAACCTTTAATAATCAACTTTGAGAGTGATGAAGATTCAGATTCAGACAGCGCTGAAGAAAGAAACTCCGACTAACTTTATTGTACAGAAAAAGCTTACACCAGTAGCTTACCTAATTTTAGAATGCATTTTTCTGTATGAATTCTGTAAAATAAATACCATGCATAAAATTTGGAGGACCCCATTTGGATTTTTATTCAGTACCTTTAAGCTATCAATTAAATATGGTAGTTTCATAGTGTCATCTGATCAATAATTGTCATACTTAATGATTATGCAAGTACAGATCTATAATTTTATTATACTATTATTTTTGTTCTCATTTGAGGTTAATATTGCTTATAAACCTAGATATGTAAATAATAAATTTTATTATTTTACAAAAAGTTTGGCAACAATGTAAATTTTTCAACACACCCACCTTGATAACGTGCACGCCACTTTGTTTGGCGTTGACTATATGGAAATAGTCTGGTTGATGAAGTAGATTCCTTAATATAACTAAAAAAAGAGTAGAATATAAAGGCGGGTACTCATATGAGCACAAACGCGAATGAGGCAATCCGAGGACGAAGACACGAGGCGTTGTACGGCATCGATCTGAACTTCAGTAGCTTTTGAAATATGGCCGATTCAGATTCTGATGGTGAACTCGCTGCGTATTTTATAATTTTAACCAGTATATCAAAAAAGAAAATGAAGAAAAAACCAAACCGATAATCGTAACAATTATATCTCAACAGAAGAAGATAATTGAATGAAAATAGCACAGCTTTGTTAAAAGATCCTTGGCCGCCATAATATCTCTCTCTCTCTCTCTCTCTCTTTTGATATCCTTCAATCACCCATAACACTACATTTTGAGATCATTCCATTATAATTAAATAAAAGCACTAAAATCTTTGATAACAATAATAATTATCTTTTTCCGTACAATACTAGTTACTACAGAGTAGACATGAAATATTTATTTCCGTCCAGACTGAGCACGCACCGACCATGTGTCTCACTTTGATGTATCGCGAAGAAACGGATCGGGTCTAGCCTGAATGCATTCGAATTCGTACGCCTCGTTCAGACGTACACATAGGTATGCTCATTGCTCATGCCTCCTCGGGTTGCCTCATTCGCGTTCGTGCTCATATGCGTACCCCGCTTAAGACGGAGTGGAAAATGAATGGTGAAGCCGTGTCATACTTTTCACTGTCTATCGAGTAACTGCTTTTGACATTTAATAATCCAAACTCTTCTGGCAGTAAATTGTATGCTCTGATAGCATTATAGACAAAAGACCTACAGAACAAGGCAGTTCGATGTTGAGACATAGTGAAGGCCAGTTTACCTCTGATGTTCACAGAATGAGCTGAAGACCGGGTTGAAGATTTAACGCAGAGTTCCCCAAACTTTTTTGTGTCGTAGACCCCTTGCCATGTTTTTCCGTGTTGGGTAGACCCCCTACTTACCTGATATTGATTTAATGTAAATTTCTAACTGTAGTGAAGTTTAGTGTTAAAAACTTAAAGTGAAAACACATGTTAATGTATACATTTATTAATTGAATTTAAATTAAAACTACTCAAAATAAAATTTTGTATCTGTTGTGTAAAATATACGTAACATTAAATAAACAGGTGTCTGACCAATAAGTGCCCGCATTGGGAATAAGTTCCCGCGATGAAAAAAAAATAAGAGGGATAAAATAAAAAAAAGTGAAAAATAATAAAAAAAAAAGTTTTTTACTTAAAATAGTACAATAAGCGAGTTCGTTTATTAATTATAACATAAACGTATGTTCTACAATAATTTCACTGTTAGTTTGATTAAATTCCGCTTCTTATACGCTTACGTTATCTAAAAATAGGCACAAAATTAACGAATTTTAGTGTGTACCTATCTATGAATTTTCAGAATAATTTTAAAAAAAATATTTTCTTTAAAAAAATCACTGCGGGCACTTATTCCCAATGCGGGCATTTATTGGTCAGGCACCAATAAATATAAAATAAACTATAAATAAAATAACATAAGCAATAAGTCAATATTTTTAGTGAGAAGGATGAACCTGATGCTTTAATAATAAATTATCAACATTTGGCGTCAATTTTGTAAGGGTTAATCTTAAATCTCCTCGGCTAATGATGTCCAGTCTGTTTCTTTTTTTCGTTAGGAGATTGGTAACAGCGCTGAACCCCCTTTCCACTAGGTATGACGATGGAAAGGAAATTAAAAATTTCCTCGCTATATTCCATAATACGGGATAACTAACGGGTATGTTGTTTTGCAGCCAGAATTGCTGATATCCGTTATTAAACTGAACCTTAAGTTCTTGGTTTGTACTTAGTTCAGTCAGTTCCTCTTGTATTATGACATTCGTTTCTTCTATGTCACCATATGGATTAATTATCCACGGTGGTATTACCATAGTCAAAATATCCTCAAACCTAGATTCAAAATCTGAATAGAGGGCATTTAAATCTTGAACGTAAGTTGAAACGTCGTCTTCCTGGCAGCTTGTCTGTGACAAATTGGGGAACTGAGAAAATTCGCCCTGTCCAATATTTTGCTTCATTAGTTTAACTCTGGCAAGAAACGCTGATAAGATGGACTTTGTTTTAATCAAATTCAAACTGTCGCCTTGTAATTGCAAATTAACCATATTAAATTTTGTAAACAAATCTGTTAAATAGGCGATGTCTGTTTTCCTCTTCATTAAATTTTCTTTTAAAATTTTATCTTTAGTATCCAGAAATTCTAAAATATTCTCAAAAAGTGCAAAAAATCTTGTCAAACATAAACCTTTCGACAGTCAGCGTACTACAGTGTGAAGGAGTAATTGATGAAAGTGTTCGTCATTTTCCTCACACAACTGCGCAAATAACCGCGTATTCAACGCGTTGCTTCGGATTCGGTTTACTGCATCAATGACTGAATGAAGTGATTCATGCAATCTAACACTCAAATTTTTAGCAACTAAATGTTGTCGATGGATGACGCAATGTATTGCTAACACCCCTGACACATTTTGTTTCCTTATAAATCCACGATAACGTCCAACCATGGCAGGTGCTCCATCTGTAGCTACTGATATTATATTTGATAAAGGAATTGCTTTTTCAATGAAGTAATCCTTCAAAACATGAAATATTGATTCACCTTTAGCGTCGGTTATCAAAGTTCTTGCGAAGAGCAGTTCTTCGTAGATTTCTTGATTCATAATAAAACGAACATATGCCAATAATAATGCTGCATTATCGGGTAAGGTTGTATAGAGAAATGGGTCGTTTGCAAATAATTACATAAGAAGCTTTCAATATCAGAACTCATTTCATCACTACGTCTTCCAACAGTATTGTTGCTTAAGGGAATTCTTTTAATGATATCAGATGCAGGTTTGTATAAAACAGTTTGTAAAACCTCTTCAACGGCTGGCAAAATTAACTTCTATCCGATAGTATGCGGTTTTCCGGATTTTGCTATAAGTAGATATTGTAAGACGCCCGCAAACCATCATCATTTCTTTGTGACACCGAAGCGAACATTCTGTCCAGTGTAGGTCTCTTCTGAAATTTATCTTTGAGTGTTTGATAGTATTTCAAATCTTTCTCTGTTTTATCAGGGTGGCATCTTCTCAGATGATCTTGCAGTTTAGATGGTTTCATAGCGTCGTTGCCAAAACTTTGTTGCATAAAAGGCACATAGGCGATTGTTTGTCCGGCAATGATGGAATGAAGCCAAATTTCAAATAATCAACACTGTACTGTCTACATTTCTTTTTAGATTCGGACATGGCATCAGTCATCTGTGGGCAAAATTAAATTATTTAAATATGACGGAAAATCCAGCAGCTGTATATTAAAAATATTTTTTGATTTTTCCGAAAACATTCCATAATTCGAACATCTTGCAACAATTAGCTCGAATTACGGAGATTGCACTGCAATTATATTACCGATTGCTAAAACTTTCAAAAGGAAACTATTGAGGTGTACTCGTGTAATTTTGCATGATTGTATATTTAACTACTAATAACTAAAGTCATGATTGGCGTAATTTATCTATCTTTGCTAACTACGAGTATAAAACTAAAATTTAATTATAAATAATGTAGTTACTTTTCTCCAGCACTCTCAAATAAAATAACACTGACTCACTATAATTTGTGTGATATACTAACTGTTTATATTTTTTAAAATATTTTCTTAGCACTTTCCTTTTCAAGATTCAGGAAACGAATAAACGTATTTGTCCCACATTCGTGTTTATAGAGTGACGAATTGAACAAGCCAGTGCAAGGTAGCGAAGCTCTGAGACTGCGACTCTCAGGTTTTTACAAGTTCAAAATGTATTGCGACCACAAAGCGAATACCAGCATCCTACAACTTACACAATTTTATAAACATATATAATAAATTTTTTACTTCATAGGTGCTTTTATAAATAATGTATATGTTTTGATATTATAAGATAGTATGATGTAAGTAAATAGGTACTATCAGTGTATGTGTTTAGATCTACTATCGTGGACCCCCATATTCATTTAATGGACCCCCATTTTTTTTTTCGCTGACGTAGACCTCTTGCAGTTTGTCATAGACCCCTAGAGGTCGATATAGACCACTTTGGCAATCAATGATTTAACGCATAGCCAATCACAAAAGTAGATGTCATTCAAAAGTTTAGGAGTGTTTGTGTTTAAATGAAAGTATCTTCTATTTGCCATATTTAACCAATTAATTAATTGAAAATTCAAACTGAGACTTCAGCTTCACAGCAAATGCCTCATGTTGTTGAATGTAGTCCGGGCTTCTGACCCTAATTGCGTTTATGCCATTAATATTAGTTACAGTCAATCACTGTTTCAATCTGTTAATTTTTCACATTTAGGTTGAGATTCTTGACGTGTTGTTTAGTGATTGCCATGATTTTGTTTTCTTTATGTTCAGTGACAAACTTACCTGTTCAATTACTTCGTCAATACAAGAAGTACGGTATCGTCAGGTATCTAATATTGCACTGGTCATTCAGTGATATCCAAAATACTCCATATCGTGACAAAGACATACCTCGAACTGCTTCGTACTCCTTAGCAGTGCCGAAACTTTTGTGCGATTTTTTTTCATAAAGCTGTTAGGAAAATTTGGATACACAATCAAAATGAACCAATCGATGTAGCCGAACTAATACAGATGACTCAAATTCTGTCAAAGAATTAAATTAATTTGAAACATGTCAAGGGCCTTATCATTAATAATAATAATTATATTTACAAATAACACTGGAAAAAATACATAACATTTTTATACCTTAAAGGTTATCTCGAGTAAGTATTCTCTAGGTCGATAGTTTGATGAAGACAAGGATATCCCCTCAGTTCACCCGACTACCACAGAGGGAGCGTATGTTTTTCGCCTCCTCCCATTTCCATTACCCGTCAAAATATTTACAAAAATAATCTCAGAGTCTCCAAAACGAAGTTTGAGCGATTTTTACATTTTCCTTTTATCGCTTGAAGCTCCTCCAGCTTTGGACCGAAAAAATATAAAGCTTTTTTGTCCTTGGCAGAGCAGTAACCATGTATGAAAGTGAAAGTGTCATCAAAATACGAGCAGTACTTTCCAAGTTATGGTCAGGCCAAGGATTAGCGAACAGACAGACAGATAAACCGACAGACAGATAAACAGATAAGCCGACAGCCGGACAGCCGGACAGCCGGACAGATGGACAGCCGGACAGCCGGACAGACAGACAGCCGGACAGATGGACAGCCGGACAGATGGACAGCCGGACAGACGGGCAGACGGACAGACGGACAGACGCACAGACCAACAGACCGACGGAAACGAGTGACATGGTTTTTCGTACATACCATGCGAAATCAAAAAACATATCTCATTTGTGAAATTTTTCCAGATTGCAATACTTCCCCGTTAGGGGCGTAGAAAGTAAACAAGATTTACTGAATAGTACTTCCAAGCAATAACAGTTTTATGATTTTTGATAATGCAAGATGGCTGGCGCTCGCTTTCTTGACGTGATGTTAATTTCTATTGGAACTTCTTGTCTTTTCTTGTTCCAGGTAGGTTGTCAGTGGCAACACTTATGATATAGAAACTGAAAATATGTGTTTTCAGCTAAAATTGTTATTGCAGTTACTATTGCCACTTTCGCGTGAGCAAGAGCAAAAATCTAAATGACACGACTTTATATTTCTTTGATATGGAAATAGCGGACCTACCGTGTAACAATAAAAAAACCCATTACCATATACCGCGTACCTGGTTTAACAACCTTTTTATGCCATGTCGGTATAAACTACAAAACGAGCATTTAAATAACTATTTTTCATTGTACCGAAAAGATAAGAGATATGACCATTCTCTCAGCCTTTTCATTAAAGCAGTTAACTGTATATTTATGTATAGACGAGGCGAAATTCTCGCACTCCTGAGAGAAATTTTCCCAGTCGCTTTTTTGATAATTACGTTAGTTGGATGCCTCTTGAAATTAATCCTGATATTGTCGGCAGAAACCATGGTTTAAATTTGATTTAAGGACGCAAGTCCTTGTTCGTCAACAGTCTGTTTCGAGCAGCACTCATGGTGTGTATAGAGATGACTAGAAAACAATCTTATACACTTGCTTTGCATTTGTTGTGCATTTTATTGTACATTCTTTCTTTATTAGTAACTTGTTAACAAATATGTATCAGTAGAACTCCACATTTACAGTAGAATTTGGCCGGTGATTAGTTTTATTCTTATCACTTTTTCTCTTTGAAAAATTTTGAAGCAAAAGCCCGCTCAATTCTTTAAGAAAAAGTTTAGAGCTGTACTATTATTCGTTAACAACTTATGATTGAACAAAAAATGCACAGGATATGCACAAAAATGCTTTTTTGACAAAAAAGAAACTTATTATTTTTCATTCATCGCATTACGCAACATGAAATGAAATCGGACAAAAACTATTAAGAATACTCCTCCAAATAGGCCGTTGACATCTTTTTTACAAATAATAAAATTGTTTTCGGGTCGTCCTAGTAAAAAATGTTGTGAGCGATGTAAAAGCCTGGCAAAGCCCCAATGGCCGCATGCAATGCTTGAAAACTCGCATAAATATTATTACTTTTGAGATTGTAATAAAAATTAAATTAAAATCTTTCCCTAAGCCGTGGAATGTTTTCTGGGTTAAGTCAATCTTCAAGCATTACTGATGACGCTTCAGCTTACAAAATATTTTCTAAAAAACGATTAGCTAGTTAAATATATGCCAGCTCTTTTAAAATCGATGTCAAAGTATCTGTAAGTGGACCGAACCAACCATCATAACTTATAAAATTTACAACCTTCCAACGGAAACTTTATTCTGAGCATGGGGGAAGCGCTTCATATGGGCACATGAACATAAACAAAACAGCTAGAACATAACCGTTTGTTCGATTAAATATGTATGAATGTGATAAGTTAGATGTAATAAAATGAAATGCCCAACAGACATAGAGATTGAAAACACCAAGTAAATTACACCCAAAGTGGTTCTTTGGTAAGGTTTTCCTAGAATCGCAGTTTGCTATCACTTCAACGCCAACGGCTGTCCTAATCTCACTTCTGCCAAATTGATAGGTTTTCACATTTTTCTTAGAGGGCTTACTAAAGAGATATCCTTCAACTCTCGATGATCAGTTGTTTTATTTTGTCGCGTAGTTTTAAGCCTCTTAATTCTAGAGGAGTAAATGTCTCCAGTCTGACACAGCCTTGATAATGAAGTGTCTTGGACAGTCTTCAAGGTGATAAGGTCATAGCTTATAAAGATTCTTATGATCATATTCAAATATTAAATATGTATCAAAGTGTAAGATCAACCAAGTAAATTGCTCTTAGTGTGTGCCGATCTCGTCGTAAGATAGTAAATAGGTAAGTTTCCTTACGTATCTTTCTCTTTTCTTTAATCGTTACCACAGATAAATTAATATTCCGTCTTATTAACAGTTTCTGTTATCCAGCGCCATACACATGGAATTCTTAATAACATTAACCTTAAATTGTTTTCGGAATGTCCGCTCGAATTTCGGTCCATCTTGGTGATAGTACTGACTGACATCGTAATTAGCGAATTTCATCGAGATCGTCTTGGCTAATTGATTAATATAACTGACTAGTTAGTTAATGACGTTTCACTAATTATTGGAATAACAGCTTTGTGATACAATTAATAGTAAGGTGCTTTATAAATATCAAAACCTTGGGACGCGGTTCCACTGAATGAAAATTTTCTTAAAACCTTTTTATTGCATTGTTAAGAGCTTGAAATATAGATGATTGCCCGTCAAAATAGGACGCGAATTATAACAAATTTCAAAAACAATAAAGATGTTAAAAAAAGTTATGAATAAAAATAGGGTGAATCGCAAAACAGTGACAATATTTATAAAGCATAATATAATACAAAACAGTTTTTTCGGGTTGTACTAAGATATTGAACTAGAATTTTGTACATGTAAGATTGACAGCGTAGCCAATACATACAAAAGATTTTATTCTAGAGATTACACTAGTGTCGTAGAAATTTTGCACACTACAGAAAAAAATTGAAAAGTATTCCCTGCACTGTATTCTTGTCGAAATACTCCTTTTCTAGAAAATTTGGTTTGCATGTTTGA